AACAGTGCTGAGATCTTCTCTGTCTTGTTTAATTCTGTAGAGACACTGATGTTTGAAATGAAATAGCACATGACCCTAGTGGAATTAAGCCAAATCTTCTCTTTAATCTGCAGCTTACTTTTTCTCCTTGAATTGGCCAACATTGCCTGAATTGACTGTAGGAGCCTTCTGTATTTGGACAAAGATTTTATCTGCATCCAAGGCACTTCTGCTTTAATTAGGAAAAAAACCTGCAACTACTCCTCAGTTCTTTTCATGTCTCCAGTACGCCTGTTGTAACAGATTAAAGTTAATAATGGTTGAATCAGGGGCAAAATACTCCTCAAAGATACAACTCTTCTGTATCTCTTTTTTTTTCTTTTGAACAATGGGAGGGGTTATTCTCTCTTGCTATGTTTTAAAAGTACTGTGCCTTTCGCCATGCTCCTGCAAAATCTTGATTGTAATAGAAATTCTCCCTAGGGAAATCTTCAGGAAACCCAGAATTTTTTAAATGAAAAATAAAATTTGGAACCAAAAAGTAACATGTTATGCAGAAAATTATGCAAAAGAATAAAAGTTGCAATAATCTGCAGATGCTAGAAAAGACTGGAGACTTAAAACAGGCAGATGTAATTTTTTTACCAGCAGCAAGCATTCATAAACTCTCTGAGAAATAAACCATATATGGATACTGGCCTTCTGGATTTGAGACTAGCATGATAAAAAGGGAAAAAAATAAAAATTCCCATGGAAAAAAGAACGGAAAAATATTTGGAGAATTGTTATCTTGTTTCAGTGTTTACCAGAAAAATCTGGTAAACAAAGGCCTAGCAAAGCATTAAGATCATGAGAAGAAATAAATTATTATCAAGGGATTGGTCAAGTAATCAGTATAGAAAGGAAAGGATTCATCTGTTTTGACTAAGGAGGTGCTTGTGTTAGAAATAGAAAAAAAAAAAATTCCAAACCGGATACTTATTTTACACAGGGGACCTGAGCAAACAAATGGAAGAACCTGACTGTCCAGGAATGTAATAGCATTGATAGCAAAAACATGGAGGGATAACAAGTACTAAAGGTACAGACTTGCCAGGAAAGAACAAAACAGAGATAGATGTGGTATGTAGCAGATGTGAGAGACTTTGACAATAATGTTGATTCTTTCTTCGTCAGCTATTGGGATGAATTAATCTTGAGAATGGGTTGGAAAACAAAGTTTAGTCACAATAGTACTTGGAAATAATATTGAAATGTACATTGAACAATATGAATCTCTTACATATTTTTCTTTTATGGTAATAAAAAAAATACTTTGCTTTTCCATATGTAGCTGTCTACCCCTTCGCTAGGTCTTTTAATTCCTACTGTAGGCAGTTAAGGTCTTATTAATACAGTCAACTAAGTAAAGAGATTTGTATCTAGATTTATTTAGTTGGCATCTTCAGTGGAATAATTGTGTAAGCAAAGAGTTTTGAAGATGTTTCAGTGCACAGTCGCCCATTACTGCTCCAGGAGGATGTGTCTTGTGTAACCCATGTGTCATATCTGCCACACATGAATGTCTTGGACTCTCTAGAGCAATTCAAATGGAACTGAGCTGAGCTCTTTAGCTGCTTAGCTGAGTGAATCACTGCACATCATTGATTGTCTTCACTCTGACTCTTAGTAGGAGTTCAGTTCACATTTGCACACTCAAATGTAGATACCCTTACCTCAGACTCAATCCATCCAGTCAAATATATATATATATAAATATCATCGTTCGATGGATGAATTTGAATGTAATATTATTAGACTACTGACAGAAATTGTATTGTATGCTAGACTTGTAAATGAGGACTAAAAAGAAGTGCTAATAATGATGAGACACAAAACTCAATGGATAATTAACACATTTTATCAGAAAATAATAGATAAAAGAGACACAATGCTATTTATATTTTTAAGATCTACCAGAACATTGCAGAAAAGCCAGTCAAAAAACTTGTCAGATTAAGTGCTCATGAATTCATTCACTTTAAACTAAACATGTACATATTGCCTAAGTTTTAAGTAAAGGCAGAAACAATAAAATGCAGGAAAGGAAAAAATAGGTAATGTCAGCAAGTGCTTGGAAGAAGAAATGACAATAACCAAATCCTAAGGAAAACTCAAAGAGCTGTATATGCTTGAAATGAGGCAAATGGGTAATCCATATCTCAGGATTCTGAAAGAACTGGCTTGTCACATCACTGATATGATAGCAAGTGGTTCTAATAAACATGAACATTGTGTGCACTGGAGAAAAGCACATTTTCTGTTTAAAGAGAGGAATAGTTGTTGTAAAATGAAATTGAAATATGGATTTATTAAAAGGGGCTCATGGTGGGAAAACCTGTTGACATTCTGTGATAAAACAATATATTTGTTGTCACAATAAATACAGTAATCTTGTTCACTGTGACCTCTGATAAAGATATCATGTCGCATGGGAAGTGACTGATTAATCTGGAGAAAATGAAAATGAATAGATTTGTTAGAGGAGTAAAGAGCTGGCAAATGGAACATGATAGCAGTGATTAGTGAAGGAGTCTGCTGGGAGAGTACAAGCAGAGGTCTTCCAGGACTAGGTTTAAGATGAACCTTAATATTTAATGCATGACCTTGATACAGACAGTAGAATTAGATTGTGATATCTCTCTCCTGAAACCAATTATATAATATAATTGGGATCTGGATGTGGTTTAGAAAAAGAAAGACAGTGAAGACTAGATTATTAAAAATGTGAGTAAAATTTAATAGTGTAGGCCAAAGGATTTAGAAAAGAGTAAAGAAATTATGTTATGAATTGAGAACTGATACAACTGCAGAGGAGCATCTAGGTATTCTAGCTGATGCCTTGTTGACTGTGAGCCATTATTGTGCAGCTGTGCAAAAGGAAAATGCAATCCTAAAATTTATATAGGTAAAGAAGCATCACTGATTGTTCAAGGCAATGAGATGGCTTTTGGAATACTGCATAATGTAGGCCAGTTCTGTTCTCTAGCCATAAGAAGGTTGAGCGCCAGCCTGGTGTACAAAGGGATTACTAGGATGAAAGGACAGCCTAGTGTGTGAAAGATAATTTCTGCAAATTCAGCTTAATCATCCTCATAAAATGAATGTGGAAAAAAGATGCTCATGTCTTCAGTATATACATGCTGGGGAGAAACAGCAGGGAGGAAAAAGAGCAGTTATTTAAAACACATTTAAATACAAGAACAAACAGGTGTAAACCAACCTTGTATAATAATAGAATAATGGAATGGTTTCAGTTGGAAGGGACCTTAAAGACCTATTAATTCCAACCCCCATGCCATGGACAGGGACACCTTACACCAGATTGTTTCCCACAGAGTCCCATCCAACCCTGAAGACCTCCAGAGATGGGGCATACACAACTCCTCTGTGCAACCTGTACCTGTGCCTCACCACCCTCACAGTAAAAGATGTCATCCTAATAGCTAATCTAAACCTGTTCTCTTGCAGTTTAAAGCCATTACCCCTTGTCCTGTCACTATGTACCTTTGTAAAAAGTCCCTCTCTGGCTCTCTTGTAGGCCCTCTTCAGGTACTGGAAGGTGCTGTAAGGTCTCCCCAGAGCCTTCTCTTGTCCAGACTGAACAACCCCAAATATCTCAGCCTGTCTTCATAGGAGAGGTGCTCCAACCCTCTGATTTTTGTGGTCCTTCTTTGGTCCTTCTCTGCTGCAACAAGTCCAGATCCTTATCTTGGGAACCCCAGAGTTGGATGGAGTACTCCAGGTGGGGTCTCAAGAGAGCAGAGCAGAGGAGGGAAATCACTTCCCTCAGCCTGTTCACCACTTGTGATACAGCCCAGGAAACTGTTGGCTTTCTGGACTGCAAGCCACATTGCCAGATCATGCCAAGATCTTCCAACATCCCAAGTCCTCCCTCTAAAGACTGCTCTCAAGCCATTCTCTGGAAAGGATGCATTCTCCCTAGACATTCTATTATCACTAACATACCTATAGAAGCTTTACTTGTTGCCCTTGACATCCCTGGCTGTGTTTAATTCTGTCAGGGCTGTAGCTTTCCTAAACTGATCCCTGACTGTTCAAACAATCCCTGTATTCCTCCCAGACTACCAGTCTACGTTTCTAGGCTTCCTCAAAGCTCTCTAGGCTTTCTCTAGGCTTCCTCTAGGCTTCCTTTGTGTGTTTGAATTTGTTCAGGAGCTACTTGTTTATCCACACAGGCCTCCTGGTATGTTTGCCCAAATTCCTCTTTATTGTAATGCAGTGTTCCTGAATTAGGAGGACAAAACTCATATAATTATGTCTCTACTGGATGGAATGGATCAAATTATGAGTGGGATTATGAAAAGCAATTCTCTGTATTAGTAGTAGAAGAGGACCTTCTTGGGTCCTCCCAAGTGTGGGTGTGTGTTTTAATTCCATTACACAACAAGCAAAGATTTGGCCAGTGCCAGTAACCAAAAATGTACTCTACTGGTGTTACTCATTCCTATTGTAGACAATGTAGATGGCTGCACACCCCACAAAGTATTGCTTTCTAGCCAAATTGGTATGACTTACCTTTGATGTCCCATGTGGTTCTTCAACCAGCTCAGCAGCTCTCTCAGAAAGCAGTTTGAAAATGGATGTCCTGGTAAGATGTGAAAACTTCTTCCTACTAAAAAAGAGCCATCAGAGGGAATTTTGCTTAGAGCAAAGGAGTAATTCTGACTGGTTACCACAAGGTGAATTTGCTTAAGATGCCAAGGAGCAGCAGCATGGAATATGTACCTATGTCATTTTAACACAGTGGAAATGTGTAATGCATAGCTGGTAGCTGGAGCATGTGGTTAATTGCTTTTGCCTCTGCAGTGTGCCAGCTAGAACCATGAAAACAAAAAATGCACAGGAACCAAAGAGAATGACAAACATCATAATGCTTGAAGAATAAGGACTATGGTGATGTCATCTTTATAGAGAATGGAAATAGATGTAAAACATTGTTTTATTTACCATAATCACAGGGTTCCTTAAAGGAGGTTCTTAAACACCTAGAAGAAGAGAAGAAAATTCTCCAGAACCAGCTAAAGGACTATGAACTTAGACTGGAACAAGAAGCAAAGGTTTGTAATCACTTTATCCCTCTAGACTGTAAAAGCTGCTAGCTATGTTGTGTGGCAAACAGATTGTGTGTGGAACACACAATAGAATAGTTCCAAAAAAATCTGTCACTAAAAAAAGGCTCTGCTGTATATCTGAATCTTCTGTATGATTCAGATTTTAAAATTTGTTCTTAATGATGAGCCTGTATCTCATTTTAACTGTAGGCTTACCACAAAGTTAATGATGAGCGGCGCTTGTACCTCTCAGAGATCTTACAGGTAAGAAACATGTGTGACTCAGTAACTTTAGTGCTTTTCTGATAAAAACAGTATCTGTAATGCCATTAGATCGGCGTGTTTTATTACTTCATTTGTGTACCAAATACCTTACAAAAGCTGATTTTCAAAAAATTTAAGAGCCATAAATTGAAAGATCATACAGTTTATTTATTTTAAATACTTCTTTTGCTCTTGTATCGATTGGAGTTTCAGTGTTCCCTAGCATAGTAAAGTGCCCATAACTGAGAAAACGGAAGCAATTTTCTGATGCTTGGCCATCCATTAGTCACAAGACTGCTGTGCAGTTGAACAGAACAGAAGCGAATTGTCAGCAGTAGTGACAGCTACCTTAAGTAGTAATTCCTCCTTTTCATATGTCTCCTTTTTTCTTTTAAAGATAAACTATCCAACCAGTTCAGAATTAAATACAGCATATATTTCCGTTAACTTTATAAAGCAGGGATAAAACACCTTGCTTTGGTGAAATCACAGGTTAAATTTTATTGATGCAAATTATGTAATACATGAAATTTAATACTACAAACTGGAGAAACCTGTAAAGAAATCTGTAAAGATTTATAGTACTTATTATTCTAGGAAAGCTCTAAATTCCTAAATAATGTAAAAGTAATAGCTTAGTGTGATATTCAAGAATTGCTGCCACCGAGTCCCTTTCATAGCTAACTGGGGTAAAAGCCTGTAATTAGCATGTGCTTGCACAGTAGGCAACTGATTCCCTTACATGGTTCATTGCTACTTTGGGAAATCTAAAAGAATTGCTTAAATGAACTTTCCAGCATGAAACCAAGAAAAAGCCTGGGAAATGCTCATGATAACTGTTAATATTTTTACATTAGCCATAAAACTGAGAACTTCTGGAGGAAGAAAGGAAATAAAAGCAGATTTTATTACTGAACATGCTAGCAAGAGGAGTGCCTATGTTCAGCTCCCTATAAAAACACTTAAATATGCGTAAGACACCATTTGAAGTGAGGTATATGCATTGGCATGTGGCTTAGTGAGGCACTGGGATCTAGAATTTTGCCATCAACACTCAAGGTAGTTAGTACATTATATTTTCAGCCGTTAACTATTTACTCTCATTATTTCAGTATCATATGAGAGCAAAATAGTCATCCTCAGATTAATATTCCTATCTTTAGTTCTCTAAACATCAAATAGCCATTCTAAAGTAGTTGTAGAGGAATCCTCTGTAATCCATGAAGAAAGAATCATGTGCAAAGTATCACATCTGTTTTAGGTCAAGATGAAATTCATTTCCCTGGGGACTTTTCTGTCCATCCTCCTGAGCTCTAAGCAGAGTGTGAGTAGTTTAGATTAAACATTGCTGATCTGAGCAGGGCAGTCACCCCCACATCCCAGATGCTGTGGGCAGTTTTGAGCGCCTCAATCTAAGAAGGGTATCCAACTACGTGAGTGTGTCCCGGGGAGGGTTAGCAGTGTGGTCTGGCCTCAAGATTTATGAGAAGCAGCTGAGGTCACTTGGTTGGTTCAGCTGGGATGAGAGAAGGCAGAGGGGTGACCACATTGCTGAGCAGTGACCTCACCCCACACTACACCTTCCTCCAGGGGGGCAGAGGAGGGGAAGGTGCTGATCTCCTCTCCATGGTGACCAATGATAGCACATGAGGAAAGGGAATGAAGCTGCATCAGGGGAAGTGCAGATTGAACATTAGGAAAAGGGTCTTCATTGAAAGGGTGGTCAATCACTGGATCACAGTCCCCAGGGAATTGGTCATAGCACTAAGACTTCAAGGAGCAACTGGATGACACTCTTTAATTTTAGGTAGTGCTGTGAGGAGCAGGAAGCTGGAATTGATGATCTTTATGAGTCCCTTCCAACTTGGGATTCCAACTATGATTCTGTGGTTTACTGTTGATTTCAAAAGGATCAGTGGTTTATGTGTTCCCTTCAGTTTTTTTTCTGCCATGACTTTGATTTAACTTTTATATTATTTTAAAATCTGTATATGTTAAAATCGGTATGTGTTAAAATCTGCCTTCTCTTTTAACAGTCCACTTTAATAATAGAGGCAGAAGTAGATGTACATTCAGTACAGACTCTTTCAACTGTACTAAAATATCAATGTTCTAGAGTAATATTGCACAGTAGTATTGGCTGCTGTTGAGTTAGAAGGATTTACCCATAGGCTAACAATTTCCTTACCTTGCACAGTAAATATACCACAAGGTATTGCTGTCCTGTGACAACAGTGTATCCTAGTGACACTCTCTTATTGACAGTGAATAGACACAGTGTTCTTCTAAGCCTTTGTTTTATCTCATTATGTTTGTAATTTTTTTTTATAGCTGACAGTAAGAAAAAAAAAATCATAGAATAGAAGTTTTTTACTGGTAGGTATTAAAAACTACCAGGTGGTGAAAAGCCAGCAGGTTTTTCCTGCTTTGTTTTGGATTCCTCCTGAAGCCTGCGGCAGAAGCAGAAGACAAAGATGTTTCTGAGAAGCCATTTATTTTATTTACCTTTTTATTACTGAGTGCATTTCTGCCTTTTTTTTTTTAAATTTATTTACAGAATATATTTATCTTCTGAGTGCTTTTGATGTTTGTCTTATCTGGCCCATAAGGATGCAGTCAGTTTTAAATGATAGTTTTAAAAGAAATAAAAAATTTCACAATCTTGAAAGCTCATGCTAGAGGCAATGGTTTCTGGTGTATTCTTGTTTGCTTTTTTTGTTTTGTTTTTAGTCTGGCAAAGCATTGGTTTAGGATTTGGAGTCCACAGATGTCAAAGGCACTCTCTGCTGGTGTTCAGAAATTGGTTTGAGAGCAAAGCAAAGAAGAGCTATAGTGCTTCTTTATAAAGGCCATTCTTTCAGGCCAGATTTTTGCCACAAACTGTTGCAAGCAGAGTGGCATCTGACTTTTGACTGGGATTTCTTTTCAGAAAAGGCCCAAGATTATAGATAGCTACAGATGGAAAGCTGCTTGTACAGCAATGGCTAATTTTACTTGGGATAGGCCTGGAGTAAACCGTACCAGCAAAAACAGTGCTATGGATAATAATCATATATACAGGCACTCTGTATTCATATAAATTACAAAAACAGTGAAGGCAACCTTGGCATTGCTGTTGCCTCGTGTGTCACAGAATCACATCTGCTCAGATATGATAATACGATAAATTAAACTAGCCATTATCTTTAATACTGGAGTTCCTCAATTACAAAAATTTCTTGCCTTCAATAAAGTAAATCTGTGCAAATCCCACTTACGTCTGTAACTGTGATTGGGGTTAGGATTTAACTTGTTTTGTAAAAATTTGGCTATTGTTGCAGACCTCAGCTAAACCAAAAATTTTTGAAAGGAAAAAAACAGATGCTCTGACTGGCAAGGGAGAAAAACAGATACTGAGGTAAATTTCCTTTATATTCCTGTTTACTGGTTGATTATTTGTTGCTAAGTACTGTTTTGAACAATGCAACTTTCTGTTCATGTTAAATATCATAGCATAAGCTCACTGACAAAGTATTACTCAACATATTTTTTCATATTGCTTTTCATCAATTTTATTTATCGCAAATGTTGAAAATAGATATGTTTAAATCATTGTTTAAGAGACTTCTGTTTAGTTATATGGTTTAGAAATATAAATTTGAAAAAGTCCACCTGCTCTGAGATACATAGAAATAAAATTAATTTCTGATTGCAATACTTGTGGGTAAGCTTGATATTTGAGGAGATTTATTTTTTAACTGAATTGAATATGTTAAGAATATAAAGTGTCAAGAATATAGGGAGCATATATGAAAAATTTGTTGGACCCAGTCACCTGCCTCCAGTGGCCATAAACAGATGCTTACAAAAGTGTGGAAGCAAGCAGATATAATACTTAATTTTGAAACTCTCCCAAATAATTTATATTTGGAAACTTCCTAAGATAGTATGGTTTCTATGTATTTAGTGTCTCACAGTGAATACTCTTCCACAAACCCACTTACCTATATTATTAAAGTGAGCATACACAATATATATTGGAATAATCTAAAAATGTAATGAGTAAATTATAAACATGATATTGTGTTGACCTATTTGCTTACCAGCCTTTTCCTTTCATTCTGTATAAGCACAGAATCACAGGATTTCATAAATTGGAATAGTGGATCTTCATGTTCCTGGAGAGTATATTAGTAGAATATGAATTTATGCAGTACAATATGAATTCAGTTCTATAACTGAAGTTTTTCAATACATAAAAAGCACTGTGTGGGTTTGAAGTGCCCCATATGCCACTGTATCACTTTTGACCTCAGTGATATTTAACATGGTTCCTATGGAGAAGGTCAGAAAGCTAGAACCAGGAGGATTCACTGCCTCTGCAGTGAGATTAAATATCATCAGCCAGATATGGAGGTTTGCTGAGGGTTAGCACTGATCTGTGATCATGGTGGGGTTTTTTACAATCTATTTTAGCAGACCATTACTTACCCTACTGTTATATTACAGTGTGGTTTTGTAATTTTCTTTATATCAAACAAAAGAAAATAAAGTGTAAAAGAAAATAAAGTGTCCTCTAACTGCTGGTCTCAGAAGATGTATGGTATAACAAAATATCCTGTTTCAATCCATTTTCCCTAAGAGGACTTTTTTTTACTTTTCAATGTTCTTTAAACATATGAAGATAATTTTTCATCCTTTAAATTGTCCTTAGAATATAAGAGCCTAGTTTTCAGATGATTGACTGTTATAGCCAGTGACTTAGAACTTTCAGGACAAACTTCAATGCTTGCTGGCAACATGAATGTAAGAGTGGGGATTTGGCATAGTTTGTGTTTTAAGAAAATACTAGAATATAAGTATGCACCTCATGAACATCACAAGGTGACTATAGCCATTGTTATATTATTCCTTTTTAATTATGTTTTGGTTTATAGCCTGGGGGTTGTTTGTTCAAGCTGACATTAATGAGAAATAATTTCATTAAAATAAGAGAAGATGTGCATGTTCTTGAGAGTAATTTGAACATTTTCTGTCTAGAGTTCTTATCTCACCTTTGTTGCCCTTTTACAAAATACCTGCATTGGAATTCAAACCATACTAAAAAACTGCCTAATGATTGTTTTAACTATAGGAACAGGTACAGAAAGCCCAACCTGTTTATTAGACGAACACTGAAAACATATTTGTGTAGTAGTTGTGAACACGAATGTGGATTCTTTGCTTTTTTTTGCTAAGGTTGGGATTAAATGTGTGAGATGGTATAGAGATCAGTGCCTGTCAGCACAGAAAATCGAAAATTCTCAGGATCCAGAGTTCCAGCAACTAATTGTTGATGCATTCAGTTTTCTTGCCATCCAAAACAGAAGCAAGTTCAGCAGAGGTCCTTTTTGAGGTTATTACAGGACAAGAAGATAGGCTAGCTGACAGCTGGGAAGAACAGGGATGTCTTGATGGCTCATATCTCTGATGCAATTTGAGCAGCCAATTTATTGTCATTCTGACCCCTGCTGTTACACTGAGATTTATGCTGGGGCTTATTAGCTGAATTTCAAAACTGCACTGCTACAATTACCTGGCTTCTAAGTCTGTGAGTCTAGCTGGTTTTGAGTGGAAGAGGTTTTGCTGCCTGCAGAATTCCACACAGGCATTTTCTGCTACGTTCAGCTGTAAAGTGATCTACAGTTTAATCAATTGATTTTGAGCAATCAACTGATTTGAATTTGAATAATTGATTATCAAGCACACTGGGGCCTTGGATTGTGATCTTCCAACTCTGAGTCGAAGTACCTCTGTATCTGTATGGGCACATTTCTCCCTCCAAGACCAAGACTGCTTGCAAGAGCTGGAACAAAACATGTTCAATCCCAAGAAGACTAGTGAGCTCTAGGTTTGACTTTGTTCCCTCTTTCCCCACAAGTCTGAAACTTGCACAGATACCATCACTTCTATCACATATCTGGGTATCATGACAAATATAACAGTGTGATGTTGTGATATATTTTCCTTCAAAATGTCTTTGCTTGAGAAAGACACTGAAGCTCTGTATATTGTTGTTAGTATGTAAAGTACTGACTTTCCTCTGCAGTAATGAACAGGAAGAGAAGCAAAGGGACATTGTATAGGAGCAGAAAGGCAGGCTTATTCAGGAGAATGACCATTCTAGACTGAGAAAGCATCATTCTTTCTCTGGAGATTTCTTTACATTCCCACAGATTTCTTAGAAGATCAAGATGAAGCTCTAGCTGGTTTTATGTAGATGGTGTATGTATCCGTGATGAGTACCACTTCAAAAGTCTGCTGGCAGCATCTCCTGCAGGCATTTCTGGTGATCATGGGTTCAAGAGCTTGGCTTTCCAGAGTGGAATACCTGCAGAGAACTGTAACTACATCTACAGGAAGTGTTTTCCCCTTTTCTGGTGGGAATTCTTTAACTGATGAAAATGTCTCTGTAGCCAGTTATCACTCTCCTAGTGCCAATATTTAGTATTCTGTTCATGTTCTCCAAATGACATCACTTAGGTAACAGGAATCATGAGATGAAGATTGCATTTGCAGAATAATTAGATTCTCTGCTAACCTGCGAACCTAGAAATATACTTGTTTTTTCCTTTCTCAGGTTTATTAATTCACAGTAGTAATCAGATATGCAAATATAGAAAGCATGCACATTTTTAGCTGTTAAAACATACAGGCAATGTGACATTTGCTGACTAACTTCACCCATTTTATTTCAGAGGAAGACAGAGTGTTCCAGGAAACCCGAAGATGGTTAATCCTCAAAAACGATCAATTAAAAAGACTGTAGGAGTGAACCAGCTTCCACAGCTAAAGCACTGATTTAATATTAATGCCAAGAACTTCCAGTCACTTTTTAAAAAATTTAATTTGGCTGAAAGTTTCTAAATTGAAAATGAAAGTATTTGTGTCTTATTGCAATGCCAGACCCCAATGTCTTCTTGGCTGCCCTAGTCTAAGTGTTCCTCTGCCTAATGGAATTGCTCTTCTAGTTGCCTCTTTGCACTGGTCACTTCTGACCTTTTCCATTCTGCTTCACATCAGTGATTATGAGGATGTTGGAAAACTTGGAGAATATTTAATGTCTTATACACCGTGTAGATCCTTGAACTATGCAGCCATGGAAAACAAACAAGCCTCTAGCATTTTTGACCTCTCAATCCAAGACGAGATAACCTGGAATGTTGTCTAAATATAACTTTTTTTAAAAGCTGACTTGCCACAGATCCCATGTTGACTACCACTTTCTGTCTGCATGGTTTAGAAGCACAGCACCATTTCCAGCTGCTTTAGGCACTAGTAATGGATAGAAATGACAGAAAAATTAGGCACTTTTTGTTAAGTAATCTTCAGAGCCTATCTTGTGGAATGTTGTTTCTTTTAAACACTATATATGTTCTATACGGAAATACATATCCTAATATTGGTATGTTGCTCTTTGAAATTTGAATTCTCAGATGAACCCTTGTATCCACAGTCTTGGGGTCATAAAAATCTCTGTGTTCTTCAGTGACATTGATCCTTGTACTTTTTGGATCCAAAATAGTGCCAGTCTTAAAAGTCATCTCTTCAGTGAAAGTAGAACTACTTTGTCTCTTCATTCTTAAGCATGCAATTATTGTTGCAGTTTTATTACCTACATTTTAGTTATTAAATTCAGCAAAATTTTTTCAAGTGGCAATGGGAAAAATGTTTTGGTAATGAAGCTTCAGTCCTCTGGGTTACATCTTAAAAGCTCTTGGCAGAGCAAATGTGGTTGCTTGACTGCCCTTTATTATTTTAAGAGCATTCCTAACTCTTTGCAATAAGGTTTTTTCCCTCTTTAAGAGCAGTACTAATAGTTCCTTATTACTGGGAGCATTAAAGTGACACTGTAATTAACTCATAGTAAACGACATACCAATGGTGTCATTCTGAAATGCAGAAAGCAAAGATCTGCAGTATGGTACAGCATATTCAGTATGGAAGTCCTTGGTTTTTTTCTCTTACATAGTATGAAATTCATTACAGATATTTGTCATGTTACCATGATGCACATGGTATTGTTCTTTCATAAGCAGGTTGGTCTGCCTGGCCGGTTTTTTCCTGACAGCATAGCACAGCTGGTTAGGTTAGCACTCTTTTGTTTGTGTTTTTCACGTGAAAAATTTCCAAATGTTTGTTGTGCTGGCGTTTGTCACTGTGGTGAAGGAGAGGGGAAAAATCACCATAATGGCTCTATTGGCATAAAAGATAAGGGACATCTGCAGTAGTAAAGAAGATCCAGTTCTTGGATTCATGCAGCAAGCAATTCCTGTCTCTTAATCAAATGTTAGTGCACTCAAGTCTGGTCTGTGTAGCACCTCAGAATAACTGGAAAAACTGCACAATTATGACAGAACATTTTTTCACAACAGGAGATTTGGATGCTTCCCTCAAGGATATTCCTCACTGAGGACATGAAAAGAGACTTTTTTTGAAGCCTTAAAAGAGACATTTATTGGTACAGGAATGACCTGGGAGAAGAGCAGACTATGTCCTATTTAGTCCCTGTTTCACCTTGCCAAGAACAATTTGATTTGATTTGGGATTCAAAATGCAGTAGTATGATAATTAGTTGCTAAAATGTGCTGTTTGACCATTCTAATTGTATGTCCAGCTGTAATCTTTGTTGGGCAAAATGGTTATAGTTCAACACTCATACTCTTTTAATTACTTGGCATTTCATTTTCTTCCTGGTTTTCTGAAAATAAGGACAAACCTGATAACTAAATTTGACTACTCCAATTTCTTTGCAACAGCAAAAAGAGAGTTGTTGGTTTCAAAAGTGTAGGGCTCTTTGGATCAAAAGAAATCTTTTACATTTCTAGCTTTCCCAAAACATGTAGGAATTTTTTGTTTGATTTGATGGGGTTGGATGAATGAGTGTTTTGAAATTCCTGGATTTATCTTGTGGGGCTTTTCTTACTGTTTTGTTGTCCTGTGAAAGGCATTTTTTTAACATTTGCAAAAATGAACAGTTAGACGGTTTTATGTAATATCTTCAATATGATTATTTCAGCACATTTAGGATTAATTAATCCTTCAAATACTTCATAGTATGCAGTATTATTTTAGGCCTAGAAGACAGAATCAGGTTTATTTAAAGTAGATATGGGAATGTAGTGATGTCTGGTTTTCCCCTGATTTCACAACAGGGTGATGTTTTGTAATGCTGCCAACCATCGTGCCAACCACGATAAAGTCGGCCTCCTCTTAAGTCTCTGTGCATCATACATGACACTGAAACCAAAAATGGGAAACTGGATTGCTGGCAGTTGTGGTCAGTGATTGAATGGAGCTAAACATCAGAGGAAGACAGGATCAGAGGTGAAGGTTTGAGTCTGGCCAAACTTCTTCCTAAAGTGTAGAATGTACTTGATACTCCAGATATACTGATTGTAGTGTGTAAGTGGCTTTAATTGATGGACTGGGAAATTTGATATCCTTACTTGGCACTTGAGAGTATGCTGCCTTTACATGGTTACTCATGCAATTCCATTAATTTCAGATGAGTCATGATTTTGAGGTAACTAAGGCATTTTAAGTATTTATTTACCCCATAGTGTTTCTGGAAAATATAAATTTAAAATCTGAAATGCTGGTAAGCACACATTTCTTATTTCCAAAAAAAACCCCTTTCTTTTTTTGTTTTAGAGTCTCATGATTAAATATGGTATTGAGTCGTGATATCTGTTTTTAATTAATCAGTTTAGCAGCAGTGTACTCTTCTATGATGGAATAAAATTAAAATGTTTATTGGACAGGCATTGACTGTCTGGCTGATTATTATGTAATTATGCAGCATAACCACAGGCTGCAGAGAACTGGGGTGATAGGCTTCCTCATGTTCAGGATATCATTAATAATAAGCACGATATTTTGTTGCCTAAATACTTTGTTTAATGGGTTCTCTGTATTTAAACTGACTAGGTGGTACAGTTGACAGTTTCCCTGATTCCTATGATATTCTATCTCTACTGGCAAAGATGAAGTGCATCATTTAGGCTTAATACATTTCCAGTAGAGGAGGATGCTGTGCAGGCCTTTTTACAAATGTGATGCAGACACAGTAGCAAGCAAATAAAATTAATAAATCAGCAAGTCAACCTCTGTGATATTAGCTTCTGCTGGTTTTGCCAGACTGGTCTCAAACATGACATGTACTTTGAACTAACTCTAGTTGGAAGCAGATATAATGTGCATGGACTAAAATTATAGCTAATTGCCACAGTTTTATAATTTTACACACAGGTGTCACACTACTGGCAGACAGCTCTAGATTGGATAATGAGGCTTTTCAAAGGTGGCAGTACCTTATTTACTTGGCAGATAAGTTTAACCCTCTCTTCCAAAAATCCAAACATTGGATTTAGTTCCTTATAGGTTACATCTTAGAATCCAGTTTTCCTGCACTTCACTGATCTTTGTCCTAAACTACCAAATAAGAACCATGTAGAGATCAAATGAGTTTCTCACGTCTACAAGAATAGCATGCTGATGGAGCCAGGTTTTGCCTGTGGTTCTGGGAGCAGCTCAATGCACCACCCCACAGAAAGGGCTCTCACTGGCTCCATTTCTAGGCTGGTAAAGTTCCTATGCTCTGGTTCCCATGTAACTTCTCACCCCTCCCTTTGTTTCCTGGGAGAAGATGAATTCTGCTTCAGGATCCCATCTGTAATTTGGGGAGAACGGTATGTTTCTGGTGCTGAGAAGTAACAAAAAGATACATACACTGGTGCTGGAGGGAAGCCAGCTGGTAAAACCACAATGAATCTAAGTAAGCCTGACCTAAATCAAATGGGTTTTCTTTTGTCCTACAATGAAGATGGATAATGTTGGTGCTCTGTTGGTGCAGAAACAGCTGTGGCTGCTGCATCTTACTGAAGAGATTTACCAGTAAAGACTGATGTCGGGGTATTTCCTGATGAACACAAGCCAGTGTGACTCAGCAGTGACACCAGTTGCTGTGCATGTCTTGTCACAGGAAAAAATGTCAGCTCTGTAAAGAGAAGGACCCCATGTGAGATCCAGGACTGGCCTCACTCCCACACCACCCTGCAACAGGCGCTTCCTCCTGCATCTGTCTGATCCCTCCACACAACAACAAGTGTCCTGTGTGGAATCTGCTCAGGAATTGTGTGGTGTAACAGAGCAATGCAGGCTGGGGACCAGAAAAATTGGGCACAGCTGAAGGGTTATTTTCAGGGAAGGATGAAGCAACAAGGCTGTGCATGCTTGACTCATCCTGTGCTGATTAGGAATAGGTTACTGAGAAATCTTTTAAAAAGATGAAAAGAAGGAAAAGTAACCTGGGAATAATGTGTCCCAGTTTGCAGCTTAAAAGCCATACATCTAAATCTGAGCTAATCACTGTATACTCAATGAGTTGTCAATGGGGAAGAAAACAAAACCAAAACAGACACCTTCAGAGTGTAGCTCCTCTCATTCTTATAGAGATGCTTAAAATGGATCCACATCAACTGGATTTCTTTCCCCTGACTGGAAAGAGAATAGAGGATGCCAAATTCAGAATAACCTGTCCAGCATGTAGAAAGGTAAGCTGAACCCTGTTCTTGTAATTTTTTTTTCTATTTTTCTTGCTCTGGCTAGGGACAGTGACACCCAAGATTAGTAGAGAATCTCAGCCAAGAAGTAATACTGAGCTGCAATTTGACTCTCCTTTGGGCTGATCTTTTTGTCTCACAGCAGCCCAGCACTCAACAGAGGACCTGTTCTTTAGGCATTGAATTTACAAGGCCCAGAGATCTATTCTCATGTTGCATCAGTACTTACAAGGACAAATTACCTTTCTTTTTTATCTTCCCTTTGAGTACATTTGGCAAGCTCCATGTTCTTTTGAAATCAAACCAACAAGCTACTGCATTATGCTAAAAAGCCCTCCTAAAGCCTGTAGACCTCCAATATACAGGTGGGAAAATACAGCCCATAGATCAATCTGCTAGAGACTTTAGGAGAAAATTTGATGCAATTGTGATAGGAATCAGTAACCCGGAGATCAATCCTTTTTTGTGTGTTCCTGTCTCTTAAAAAGCTGAGCTAAGAATTTACTGATGACATGTCAAATTATTGCCTGGGCAAATGTGTTCTTGGAGGATTAAAATAGTTTGCAATTCCTGCCAGGCCTGCAATGGCTGACAGCATAATTTCATTAGTATAATACATTCCTAGGGCAAGAATAATTTGTCCAAATACACTTAAAATGTTTGGATGAAATAATCTACCTTGCCTGAGGCTGCCATCAGAAAGCACTTATCAGGCCAGACCTTCAGTCTCATCAACACCTGTGCAGGAGGCTGCTCCTGTGCCATGGCTCAGAGAGGTGTGAGCCCCATATCCTTCACTGGCTGGAGAGGAGAGGAATGGGGGACCATTTCATTCTGAATTTTTTACTCCAGACATCTGAAGCAAAGCACCAATCCTGAAACCATACTGTGTTGTGCTGTGCTCATTGCTGCCTTGGCTAATACTTGGCTAATCAATATCTCCAGAGGCTGGAGTTTCTGGGTGTACCCACAAACATGCTGAGCAGGAAAAGTAATAGTAATTCCTCACAATCCAAATCAACAAAAAGCTTGAAGGAGATAGAAGAAATCTCTTTCCAGCCTGATCAAAATTAGAAACCAACAAACAATATTATAAAACCACACTGAGTTCCTTGGCTGTGCGTTGATGCTTCAGTCCTTCTGGGCTGGGCCTGACCCTGGTTCCCTGATCCCCAGCTCCACTTGCAGGCAATTGTCCTGCCCCAGCTTTGGCTGACCCTGTCCCCAGGGAGATGCCCCTGGTGCCCTGTCCCCAGTTTGTACTGCTCCTGGTGGGGGCAGTGGGATGGTCCCTGCCCTGCCCTGCTTGCCCAGGGATGCCCTGCAGCTCCCAGCCCCCAGTTCCAGGGGTCACTGGCTGCCACCCATCCTGTCAGATTTGCACTCTTTGGTGGTGCTGACATAAATAACAATTCGCTGACTGCAGGAGTGATTTACTTTAAGCACTTTAGCACCTGCTGTTGCTCATTACAGGATTATCATGCCCCAGATTGTTCCTGGCAGCCCAGGGTTTACAGTGTTACCACATGGCACGTGTGTAAGTTACCTTACAGGGGTGGTGGGTTCATGCACTTGCTCTGTCCTCTCCATGACCCTACTTCATGCTAAGATCTCTCATGTAACTGGAAGCCACAGGTTTTAGGCATGTGACAATCAGAAAAAAAAATCAACAATTAACTCAACATGAAGGCTTTTAATGGTAGATACCGGCATCTGACAGTATCTCATGGTTCAGGATAGCAGCCCATTCTCCACTGTTGACTCATTTTGTCACTGTGTGGATATCATTGCAATTAGCCTTGCCTGAGAAGGATAAGAAGGATACAAAGATGGAGCTTGTACTAAAGGCTCTGCAGACATCTGGCATTTCACACTGTTCTCCTGGGCTGGCATTCAGTGGGGGAAGTTATAATAGTTTTTAGGGCACATCTTCCAAAATTCTTGGCAAAAATAGCTGTCTCACTCCTCCTGGTAATCTCCCCTGCCTACTTAATTGCTTAAATTGCTGGTTCTGTTTTCTGATATCTGCAACACATCCTTTCTCACTGTAGCATTTCACAGTGCTGCAGACTTAGAGCTTCAACTTGTTTTGTTAAAATTGGTCACCTGCAGCCTAAGCCATAGAAGAGTTCCATTATTATTTTCTGGCCTGGTAACCATCTGTTTCCTACTGCCAGCACCAGCCACAGTGGTGCCTGGTATGTCCTCTGAACTGTCTGTCCTCTCTCCTCTCACCATCAGAACTTTCACTGGAAGTTACTTTAATTGTACTGCTTAAGATGGCTCTATGGACAGCCATCACTTAAGAGCAGTGCCCATGGCATTTCCAAGTAGGAAAGATGGAACAGTCTGTGCCCAAAGATACAGAAAATGGGGAAAAGAACATGCTAACACTACAGAGAACAAAGCACCCTGCAGCTTTCTCAGCCATTGCTGTGATGAGGTGCAACGACAAAATAACCCCACCAGCAACAAAAAATCCCCAACCCAAAATGACCCCTCCTAAAATCTAAATAATAGGTTTATGTAGTGAAAGACAGAACTGGTCTATACAAGTTTTGAGTTGTTTTGAGGAAAAGGTTCAGCATGACTATAAAAACATAGTAGAATCAAAATTCATATAAACTTCAAGTTTAAATAAGCATTGCTGCAAAGTGGGGGAGAGGAGGAAGGTTACCCTATAAAAGACTTTGGAATGTTTACTTAAGAAATACCTTTGAGGAA